TTAAGACTCACTTTTCTTCTCTATTAACATATGTTCTTCCATCTGATTACATTTAAATAACACACAAGAAAGATAGTGACATTATAATCATAGATTATAAGGAAAGATATTACTTTTCATTGTTAGGATATTGACAAGGCTCGGGGCTCATTTGGGAAGTGAAAAGTTTCAAAGGTCTCTCTCTTCAAGTAAAGAAGCGAAAGCTGTTGAACTATGTATGTAATAGCTTGTAATGTTGTCTTTGGTCCCTAGGCTCCCTTGGGTCTAATGTCACTTCTTTTTACACCAACAACCACTATCTTTCTTGCATTTTGTTTTGTCGATGTGGTATATGCCTGGGATTTTACAATAATGGTCTTCTTTTTACTCTGGATACCAAGGCAAAAAGCAAAAGACGACACAATTATTGGACTTTCTGTATTGAGAAATTGAAATTTCTGGACGTAAATGGTTAGAGAGAACGGTAAATGTATAAGAAACAGGGGAGACTTTGAGGAGTGAAATTTGTAATGAATGGTCTCCGATTACGGAGAACATATCCTTTTCTTTGTCAGGATGTGTAAGTTGTTACAGCTCTTAGCTCAGTAAGTAAAAGGAAATTTTCTGCTGAATAGACAGTCACTTGAATTTGGTCGTGACTAACATAGCTCTTAGCTCAGTTGGTATAAGTGAATAAAGACTAGTCATTTTTATTGTACGTTTGCAGTTTCGTTATCGTTGAGTGTAAGTGCAAAAAGACTAGTCACTTATCAGCATTTCTGAAGCAATACAGCATCCAATTGTTGTCTCAGTTAGCTTGCTAGTTTTTTTACAAATGTAACCATATATGATATAAACTTTCTTAGTCAAATAAAACGATAGTATTTCCTCATTTGTCTAGAGGAATCATACATGTACAACTATATATATATATAGATGTGTGTGGATTGGCAAAGAGTTATAAAAATCCTTTTAATTGCTTTCAGTGAGGAGGTTGTGATTTTCAAGTCATACAACTGTCTGTTGTGGCTTCGTTGAGATGAAGCATGACTTGCTGCAAATGAGACATCCAGCTCTAATGTACGTACCCAAAGGTCGGACGAGGAGAAGTCCATGGTTGTTTACGCTTCAACTCATTATTCAGTAACAATGTTGTGATTTTCAAGTCGTACAGCTGTCTACTATGACTTCCTTGAGATGAAGCAGAACTTGCTGCAAATGCAACCCAAACGTACATTGTTGAAAGCCGTTTAGTAAAGTGTATAAGAATAGTGCTAAACACAATGTATTAGTTACCGGGAGATTATTTTTTATACATTATTTTATTTGGTGTGTTAAAAAATGACATATATTGTATAATTTTAACTATTTCTATACTCAACTTTCTTTTGGTATTATAGAATCATCTTCAATACAAGCTTATGATACAAAATGAAACGTATGACTTTAGTACAGATATTGAAAATCACACCATTCTTGCAAGGACTTTAACGATATCGTCCATAGATCATGGTCTATGAAGAGGATCATCTTCAACACAAGCTTATGATACTGAATGAAATGTATGACTTCAGTACAAATATCGGAACAATAGATGTTGATAATCATACCATTCTTGCAAGGACTTTAATGATATCATCCATAGATGGCCTATGAAGAGGATCATCTTCAATACAAGCTTTAGCCAAAACAGCTAAACACAATGCCTCAGCTAGAGGGTAATCTTCCATAAGACATGGATCAATGAAATTCTTCAATTGTTCAAAACATCCTCCTTCATTAACACCCCCTCCCAAAAATGTAATTGAATCCCTCAAAAAATTCCCATCAACATCTTCTTTCCCCGATATGAGCTCGAGTAGTACCACTCCAAATGCAAAAATATCTACTTTTTCAGACACCGAGCCATGTACTAGATGTTCGGGTGCAATCCACCCTCCAATACTTCCTATACTTCCAATGTCCCTACTCGTTGCTGGTTCAATCCCTCCTTTAGCTCCAAAAATAGCCAACTTTGCCCTCCAATTCGCGGTCAAGAACACGTTTTTACTATTGATGTTCATGTGTGTGTAAGGTGGAATGGTACAAAAATGCAAGTAATGCAACCCTATAGCAATGTCAAATGCAATTTGAGTCCTTTTGTGCCAGTTTAAAGAAATGACAGAGGAATTTGACAAACAATCCCTTAATGTACCATTAGATGGATATTCAAAAACAAGATAAGATCCTGTTATATCATCTTCACCATAACAAACGCCTTGTAGTTTCACAATACTGACATGATTGATTCTTGAATGTACATCAATTACTTGTCTAGTATCCTCAAATCGTATTTTCTTGATCAATACTTCAACTTTATCGACACATCCCCTGTATACGTTGTTACTTACCTTAGTTTCTTCACTAAAATCACATGTCGCGTTTGTCAATTCATCTATGTTGTATTCTCCCAATGTGTACTTTATTCCTGCAAATAAATCAGGAGACAAACAAGAATTCGTTGAGGTTCTAGTAGTCGTTGGACCGGATATTGGTGGAGAACTTCTCAGAGTTGAACATGAAGAAACAGAATCCTTATGCATCGTAGAACGATGAACACATCTATCTTCCTTGAATTTCCTTAACGTCCTTACGTATAAACCACAAGCGATTAAAGTTGCTGCAAGAAGTAAAAAACCAACGATTGATCCTGAGATGTAGAGTTTCTTTAGTTTTTGATTTTTCGTTGATTTTTCTACGAGCTGTGTTGGAAGAAATCCAGGACTTGGAGGTTCGGAGTCTTGAATACTGAAATTTATTGATGGTTCATTTCTCAATGGAACCAAAATCGTTGTGTTTGAGTATACAGTAGGATTAAAACTCATATTATTCACTCTCCATATATCTTCAACAGGAATATTGAATTTTTCGCTTACTTTTCCTGTATCGTCACCTGATATAAACGGATACGTGACAAGGTAGTTTATTCCAGGACCAAATAATTTATCAGGACATGCACATTTTACAGGTACAATCAACTGTGTTCCACTTCTGATCTCACTGTTATCAAACATGTTGGTGAAAATGTTTTCTTGAACAAGTGTTACTGACTTAACTAGACCTTCGAAAACACCACAAGCAACGTCGTTGAAGTTCGTGTTTGTAGGTGTAATGTAAGTAACATTTGCTTGAAAGAATTCACCTGGACAAGAACAATGGATTGGAATAATCACCTCTCTTCCAATTTCAAGGATTTGAGACGAAGACGTGACGTTGTTCGTTCTGAGGAGGGATTCATCATCAGGATTCAGTATCCCAAACAAGTATGAAACATCAGAGATTGTTGTGAAATCTTGATTAGTTCTATAGATCAAGAATGTTTCACATGAATCATTTGGTGAAGTACTACATGTGTATCTTGTACCTAGAGATGTTATACTAGAATGACATGAAGTTGAATCATAGTATTGTTGGCCATAACTTGAGCCAACATAGGTCACAATTATTACTACTACTAGAAGCCAATGAAAAATCATGGCATTCAACAAAAAGAAATAGAGTGAAGAATCAAGAATGTGGCAAATGAAAGAATGATGTGGATATGAGAGTGGGAATTTTTAGGGTGTGAGTAGGTCGAGACGCATGGACGATTCAGACATTCTTTAACCGGGGCCACTCTTTCTAGTTGTTTTGGTACAATTAGGAGATTCTTTAGAAGAAAATACATGAAGGTCCCACACCGAGCCCAATGGGCTTAGCTAAAATTAAGTTTTGGATTTAACTCACGCCTCAAAAATTAAGAGTCTCTCGGTCATTAATCATATACGGCTACACATATATATCATACATCTAACGCGTTTTTTAATTATTATTATTGGATGAGCGACTATTTAAGATAATTTCTCAAAAATAATATTATAAAGTTCAATTAGATTTCATCATGGCAGGCCAAGCAGAGAAGTATATGAAAGAAATGACAATTTGTAATAATAATGAGTGAATTGTTTAGTTGGGGAAAATAGTATATATTATTAAGTAGCCGGCCACAATTTGTATATCCAACTGTTATCTACTTGGCAAATATGGACACAAAAAGTAGTATGGAATATTTTCATGTTTATGATATAGAACCGTGGCGAAATCAGAAATTTTTTAAAGGGTGTTCAGAAATAACAACTTGTTATGTTAAAGATGTTCAAAATATATTATTTAATCATTTCATATATCATTTTACTTATATATATGTTAATTTTTTTCCGACGAAGGGTGTCCAACAGTACGTGGCTACGCCACTGTATCTAGCTAATAGTGTGACACAAAATGTATAAAGGGACACTTATCATATACAATCAAAACAGATAAGTCGCTAGGTTTTGAGTGACTTGCCTAGCGATTTTTCCGTTTAGGTTGTATAAAAAAAGTAGTGTTCTTTTATACATTCTTGATAAGAAAAGTAGTTTTTTTTTTTTTTAAATTTTGCTTTGAATTTGAGTTTTTATAGGTTGATTCGATTTGTGTGTGAATATTATCGATTATTGAATTTGTATCTTGTAAATTCGATAATAAAACTAATAAGATTTTGTTTATGGGGTTATTGATTATCAGTCGTTAGATGTCTCAGTTATCTTGATCATTATTAACACAAAAAATAAATAAATAAAATTTACTGACGTACGAATTTAATAGCTAAATAGTAAAATTCGTTATTAATTCTATTTTTAGTGATGAATTAGCTTTGAATTTTCATTAGCTATATTGTAATTAATGAACCTTTGATGAATGTTTGACATAATGTTGTCCAATTTACAATTATTTGATGGTTTACTAATTATAATTAATGAACCTTTCAACATTTGTTGCTTTTTGTGGGGTTGTTGAGAGAATAATTGATTAAGACAAATACGTCAACAACAGAAATATTGAATAATTATTTTGCTATAATATTTTAATATTGAATAATCAATATATAATACAACAAATTAAATAAATATACTCTATAATGGAAAGAATTACAATCATGTTATAAATAATAAAAATAAATAAAGGCCATTTATAGCTCATATATTGAGCTCTTATTATTATTATTTTTTTGTACTACAAACAAAATCATCATAATTATTATTATTAGAACTATAGAAATATATTTTATTTTTGAGATTATATTGTTGAATATAATCAATTATTCTTTAGGATCATTTGGTCTATAGAGTCGAATTGTTCGTTTGTTTGTTGCTTGGACTGGTCTTGAATTTGTCTCAGATTCCTACAAAAAATAAAAAAATAAAAATCGAGAGAGCGTTATTGAAATGATTTATAGGTACATAAATGCTTACGACTTATATTAAGACGGAGTACAAGACTTTCTACGAAAACTTATGTATTATCATATGTCAACTTAACTTATCGTTAATCAGTTATAATGTCTGATTAAGTTAAATCTAAATATTAAGATAAAACATAAATAACTTACATCATGAACGGCCTCGCGAATTAGCTTCATTTGTTCTTTTGTAACAGTCCTTACCTGATAAAATACAAAACAAATGATATCGAATATTAACTTCAAGCACTTTCACATATATATTTGACTGATCTCACAGCTCGAACTCGTAAATTTAGGGTTTTGAAATTACCTTTCTTACAATAGTCCATACAACATCTTGAGTGCAAGGAGGAACAGTCAAAGAGCCAATATATCTATAATATTTTCTGCTACCCAACTTCACTTTTTTTGGATCAATTATTCCTATTTTTCTCTCCACATTTTTTGTATGTGCTAGAGCTTTCAAATCACTCTCAATCTGAAATTTAAAATAATTATTAATTATCAGTGACGTATATAGAATTTTTTTGTACGTACTAGAGCTTATAATAGTGTTAAATTTTTTTTTATATTGTCAGTGTATAAAAATTTGATTCGCGTTTAGTGTAATGTACCATAGACAAGAAGGAATCAGCTCTTCCAATTTTGTACATTATTCCAACAACTGCAGTTTTTCCATCTTCACTTTCATGTACCAAATGAACCTCCAAATCAAATCTGCATTTTATTTAATTAATAGAAAATCAAGATTAATAAAAAAATAATAAAAAAAGACAGTCTAATACACAAAACATCGATCCCATGCATGTTCATGCAGGATTTTAGGAAGAGTCGTATTAAGAGATGTGAAGTAGACAATCTTTTCTAACGATGAATTAGAGTACTGATTATTTTCACGACTCAAACTAGAAAAATAATTTTATCGTTGCACCTAAAAAGTATATAATAATAAAATATATAAATTAAAGACCTTCTTCCATTAATGGTATGTTCAGAAGGTGAATGCCAATGAGCTTGATTGAGTTGATATTTAGTTCCATTTATTACAATATGCCCAGCTCCACCTTCCCATCTTAACTGCAAGTAGTAAATAATTTATTATTCATCACAAGAAAAAAAAAATCAAATCTTTTAATATCATGGGAATTTAATTTTCAAAAAACTTATACATATAATTACTAATTAATTAATTAATACAAGTTGCTAATGTAACAACCCCATATATAACTTCCCTCTTAATTTCAAGAAATTAAGCACCTAACTATATATTATATTGTTGCAAATTCGAAAAAGTAAGGTAGTAGGTTAAATAGTAATTAACAGTAGAAAAAAGAATGATTGTATATTTGATTAATTTCATGTGTAGTAGGTTAAGTTTGTTGATTTTATGTATTTTAGTTATTGATATATGAAAAAATATTCTACTAAAAAAATCATTAACAAATTTAACAAATCAAATAGTGCTTTGGTGAAATTTTCATATATCTTTTAATTAGAAGTCTCGATTTATGTTCAGAGAGAGATTTAGAGCACGTACTAATAATAAAAAATACTTTATTTAAATTTTTTTTTCTTAAAAATGACTTTTATCGTATCAGACTGATCGAAAAAACTTACCATCATATCATGTCCTCTATTCAAGAGAGTAGCATAGGATGTTGTTTTGTAGCTTCTATGAAGTCTTCCCAAATGTGAAACAACTTCAACTCTCTCATTTAAAAGATCAATTGGAGATTGCAATTTTCCAGTGTTGCATAGTTTCCATTCTGGATGAATTTCACCCCAATGTGTTGGTCCATTTTCACTCTCTCTATCATAACTAAACTCACTTTCATCATCTGTAAAAAATAATAAAAAAATTATAATTAAAACTCATAATATATAGTTAGTTATACATCGATATACAAAACTCTTTCTTTATCATCTTATGTCAGATGTAACATAAAGTTGTAAATCGAGACACCAATTATTATTAGAATTGATGATAATTGAATGACAAGAGGTCCGTCAACCGATCGTTCATTAACAGACGAAACTCTTTCTTTATCATCTCGTGTCAGGTGCACCGTAAAAGTTGTATATTGAGACATAAATAATTATTAGGCATAAAAATCATATTTCTGTATGAGATGTAACATAAAGTTGTAAATTGAGACATAAAAGCCCCCATTAGACGAAACTCTTATACTTATCATCTTGTGGCAGATACAACATAAATGATAAATTGAAATTCAAATTATTATATTAGAACTCATAATAATATTCGAATGACAAGAACTCTGTCGTTATGATTAATCATTAATAGACGAAGCTCGTTATTTATAATCATCTCGTGTCAAGTACAACATAAAATAGTAAATTAAGAGACAAATTAAAGAATACTAACCAACTTCATGACATGTTGCAATGAATGCATTGGTGAGGAAAAGAAAAGAAAGGAAAAATATTTTGTTGGTTTTTGTAAGGTTAATTGTCTCCATATTTTATTTTCCCACTTTTAGAAGAAAATAATATTTTGTGTTTTTGTTGTTGTTAAGGATGCAACTTTAGTAATATTAAAGGTTGCTTATATAGAAGAAAAAATTAAAGCAGTCTTAGTGGAAATTGAAATGTGAATGTGAAATTGACCAAAAAGATCTTAAAAGCTATCTTTGACTACACATGAGGAAAGAAATTTCTAGGCTCTAGCAATTTCAGGTGAACATGTTTTTTTTTTTAATTTCTAATCTGATCTTCGATATTTATATTGTAAAATAAAATTAATTTGAGTCACATTACATGATTTAAGTATTTGATATAATATGTTAATGCGTTTTTTAACTTATTTTTAATTGATATCTACGCCTTCTAACTTATGATGTGTAAAATTTACACAAAATTAAACAAAATAGATATGATATTCGTCCTATACGATAATTTTGTGTCCTATTTATTTAATTTTGTACAAATTTAAATGATTAGTTGTACACATTCAAAATTAAAAAATATTTATAGATGTTGATTTAAGCAAAGTGAAAAGACTTACTTATGTATTTATGTCCATATATTTTTTTTTATGAAGATGCTTTTTTTTTCAAATTGAATTCAAAATTTTATCGTTAAAATCGGTGAACATATTCTATTTATTTAATCAAGCACAAGGGGATTTAAATTTTGTTAAAAAATTATATTGTATATATATAACAACACACAACTAACAATAACTAATTAAATATTATTTTTTAATATCTTCTTTTATATTTTATTTTATACTAATTGGATTTTTGTCACAAAATTCGTTCCACCAGGATCTTCAATGATAAAAAAGCAAGTTTGAAGCATATATTCTTTTCTTTTAGTGAAAAACACAATATTATTATTTATACAAAAACATAAAAAGACAACCGACAGTTCTTTTTCAAATAAATATATTTCCTTTGACTCTTAAAGTTGGAAATTCTATTTCAATTTTTCAATCAAAATTATTTTATTGAAAAAGGTCCCATTTTTTAAAATAAAAAAATACATCTGTGATTTTATCTGAATTATTCGTTCATATTAGTCCTTATATCAAGATGTCGTGTATTTATTAACTTGATAAAAAAAATACTATATACAATATATTTTTATTGTACATGCAAACTATAAGATTGTCATGGTTAATTTTTTAAGATTAGCAAATAATTACAAAAATCGACATATTAAATATAACTGATTATTAATTTTGAAAATCAACATATTCATATTATCAATATTCATTTATCTATAGTAACTTCTTTTATAAGTTCTGTTCTAAAACTCTAAAACATATATTGATATTTAGTTTGTATTCTCATCTCGAATATTATGAAATCGTGAATAATATAAATATTCATATTAATCTTTAACTAGTCAATATTAAATATGTATAAATTAATATTTTTATTCATAATTTTATTTAATTATTTATCATTTATTCAAATCCGATCCAACTCGATCATCGCATTATGGAATCAGGTTAATGTAGAATTCATCAAAGAGCAATTTGGTGGCTGCAGCAATACGAAGTAGTAGGAATTTACCTGCCAATATTGACCGTAATAAAATAGTGTAACTCATTTCATTAAAAATTATGGATTATAATATATATATATATATATATATATATATATATATATATATGTTGAATGTATATTTGATCAACTGTATCGCTGCTATATTAGGATGTTGAATTCGTCGAAAAATTATATTTATATATATAATTAAATTTTATATTTAAAAGATACATAATTAAAGTTAGATATTTTTAAAGAAAGTTTTGCTTTTGATGCAATGATTAAGCATATTCATTTAATTGAAAGAGTTTCTGATTTAAACACCAAATAACATAATATTATTATAACAGTCACGAATCATTATTCTTTGAATATATGTATTTGTGTTATAAAATTGAATAATTCGTTATGGTGTATAATTTTTTTAAAGTACCATTTTATGGACCAATTTTGATTATTATTTTTCTTCTTTTTTGTTGCCACCTTCTTGACAACATTAGGAATCCTTAATTAATTAAAGTGCTTTTTTTAATTTATTATTTAATTCTTTGATACTTGAAATTATTCTTTAATTTGACATAATGACAAGTTAAGTATTATATGCTGATCATTCTGATGACCTATCAAGTATTTCTAGCATATTTTATTCTTAGTAATTATAATAATAATTAGCATACAAAATCTATGAATTAATTTTTACTCCTTTTGTTTCATTTATATGTATCGTTTTAAAATGATCATTAACAAATTATTTTATTTGTTAGAATTATTTGGAATTTTTTTATTAGATTTGACAAGAATCTGCTTTTGAAAAATAAAATAAATAAATAATATTTACGTAGAAATACAGATATTTAGTTCTTTTTAATTAAGAAGTCAAGTATATTTGCATTATAACAAAAATAACTTTTAACAGCAATAAAAATTATTAAAGTTTTTTATCGACATTAATTAAGTGTCATTAAATTCAATTTTACTAAAGCCTTTAAAAACATATAAAAAAATGTTAATTGTCACTAAAATTTATTTTTATATGATATCGCGACATTATCTTCACCGATTCATTAATATAACTCTAGAACACAACTCCGAATCAGTTCAAGCTCAAAAACATATTTCTTCAATACAAAATAACTCTTTTTGTATAGAAACTTAAAATATTTCTCAAAGCCTAGAAATTAAATGATAAATTTGCTTCTATAGTATATTAAAGTGCATTGATAATTTAATGTCAATTTTTCTAATAATAATGTATTGTATGTGTCTTTTTTTTATTTGCCACCTTCTAGACACTCTTGAGAAGCCTTGAGAGTTGTTGCGTGTGGCAACTCCTTAATTAAAATAATTATTCTTCTATGATTTGTTTAATTAATAATTAATACTTGAAATTGTTCTTAATTTGACATAATGACATATATAAGTAGCTATGCTGATTGTTTCCATGACCTATCATAAATTTCTAGAAAAATAGATTCAATATAATTTTATAAGGAAAAAAATTAAAACATATATATATATATATATATATATATATATATATATATATTTTATTTTTATTACATAACAATAATAAATTCAAATAATTCTATAAAAAAAAAAAAGTAAATATACACAAACTTTATTTCTATTGAATAACAATCATATATTTAATATAAGTTTATTTAAGGGTCTCATTTTTAATAATAATAGGTTATATAAGTTATTATTTTTTTTAATAAATATTGAACACTATTTGTAAAAAAACTAAATTATTCATGAAAATGAAGGAATTATTAAAAGAAATTTGACATATTTGGAATACTATATCTCATGAAAAATAATTTAAAATAAAAATTATTATATTATCAATTGAAAACTAGAACAAATCAATTGCATAAAAGTTATTAACAATTCAAGTTTAAGATCCCGTTTAATTTTTGCTTTAGACCACTAATACTTGAACCGCTCCTGAATTTTGTTTCTATTTCAAGGGATAAAAAATTGTTTAAATGTGCGTAAAGTATAAATGTCACGACCCAAATCGGGCCGCGACTGGCACCCACACTTACCCTCCTGTGTGAGTGAACCAACCAAATCTAAACCTTAACATTTCAATGTAATATCAACAGAAAGTAATGCGGAAGACTTAAACTCA